AAAAAAAAAAAAAAAAAAAACTACTTGCATTTTTTAAGAAGGGGAAACAAATTACCAGCACACTGAGATCAACAAATTCTGCATCATAATCATCAGCCCTACTATGATCCATTTTAAGCCATTAGAACAAGCTGCAACTGTCCAAGGAATGAAACAAGGGAACAAAATTGGTATATTGGAAAATGATAAAGTGACTAAAAATAAAATCAATTCTCTAATCCCAACTATGCACATATATCTATACATATATATGCGTACATTTATAAACGGACACGTTTCCTTTCGCACATTCCCTTTGTCGATCGTTCTTTGATCATTGATTTCGTTTCATTTTGAACACCAAAATTAAAATGCCACCAAACTGACTGCTATTTAAGCCCTCTGGTAGCACAAAGACAGTTATTCTAAAATTGATAATTAAAACGACAACCACAATAACATTTCCATATATCTGAAGACGTTAATTAACAAAATTAGTGTTTCAAATGTTCAATAATACGGAAAGGAGAGGAGAGGAAATGGTACTGGTGGAAGACAAGAAAAAAAGAGAAAATAAAAAAAAATTATCACCCTAGTCTACAGGGGACTGACTACATTATATAAAGTAACAGAACAGTAACACTGAAACTCCCAACAACATTATGAAGCTTTTTAAATTCAAAAATCAATAAGATGAGAATAATCAGGAAAGGGGAAAGAAGTTGTATTTGAACGGGACTACAAAAATGTTAAACGTAACCAATACATACACGTCAGAACATTGGCGGTAGGGTTGTTCTGCACCCCGCCCTCCCTTCCGTCACCAGCTATGAGATTTGCCATTTCGACGTCCAACTGTTCAAGCCTCGCGAGTCCGACGGGCTGATAATAGCCTGCCCTTTTCTCAGCCAAAATTTTCTGCATTGAACGCTGGACAAAGCAAAAGTAAGTTTCCAAAACTTTCAATAAAAGTTCTACTTAAAAACTGCTACTTAAATACTAAAATAAAATGAAAATTTTCATCAGTATTTCACAGGTCTTAATTCACTTTCACTGTCCAATCCTAATTCGCAATTTGTTCTTGTATTTAGGTATCTAGGAACTAAGCGTTAAACTCCTTTGGATTTAGGATAATTTTCTGAAATAGATGAGACTTTTCTTTCCAAATGCCAAAAAAAGACTGAACTGGGTTAGCTGCCAATAGAACTGAGGAACATCAAGAACCGTCCACCTTCTTGCAAAAAGAATTTGCCAAAGATGACAGCTACTATTCAGATATTCAGTCGTATTAGATATTATATGATTTCTGGCATCTCACGGTTTTTATCATAAGTGTTGACAAAATTTAGCCTAAAAAAACAGGTTTAAACTCGTGGCTTAATTACGAAGTTCCTTTTTGAAGTCCTTAAAAGCCCTTCAAAGACGAGATGATGAGTCGAATGATTGCAAAACCCAAAAAATTTCTTCAAAAAAGCCTGTTGTGGGATGTTGATCAAAAAGTAAAAAATAACTGCAGCGAACTTTTACATATTACTTAACAGATTAATTTCACCTCCTAGAACAGTAGGAAAACGGGTTCCACGATAGTGCACCAAAGTGATTAACTAAAGCCTTTTTTAGTAACAACGAAAAACAACTCAGTAATTCTTAATTCTTGGCATTGTACTTATCTCTTTTTTATAATAATCAATTTTCCCTATCCTCCGCAGAGCAACTCTTTGGACCAAAGATTTCCTTCTTACCAAGCAGTGGTTCCCATTATTAGAGTACTTTTAATGACGGTAATTTTATTGCACAACACGATGTCTTTGTGATGGCCACCCGTAAAACAAAAAAAAATTTAGCTGCGATTATCTTATGCCTAATTACAAAGACTTTACTGAAAAAAACTAAAGTAATTCACACAAGAAGATTTCAACAGAAGTAAAACTCTGTAAAGAATAAAGCCAAACAGTAGTGAGGCAGTAGCATACACTAAAACGCCAGTTACTGTTCTGTACAGGTAAGGCACAAAAATCAACAGAAAAGAAAAAAGAGTTAGAAAAGACCTGAAAAACTTAACTTCTATGTGATGACGTCATCCGGCACCTAAACCCAGAGAACTCTGGCAACCGAATTGATTATCACTATGTCTTCTTTCAGATACGGTGGTCAACTTAAAAAACCTTTTGAACATCATTAATATATCCATGTAGTTGTTCTTCAATTTCGTAATGTTAAAAGGTGCATAATTTCTTAAAAACCTATTCAGGTTACATCTCTGCTGACCAGATTTTCAAAGTTTCCATTATATATATATATATATATATATATATATATATA